ATGCCCAGGAAGTATGAGACCTGTAGTTAGGTAGTCCCCTAGTCCCCTAAAAGGGGTACGGTATGGGGATCTAAGTATGAAACCAGTAGTCTCCATTTTCTTTTCCATTATCCCTATAGAACCCCTCTATAAGCCCTGTAACCTAAACCCCAAACCCTATATACCCCCCAAAAGCCTAACCCTACACCCTAAATCCTAAACCCCAAACCCCAAACCCCTAAACCCTAAACAGCAATGTGGCAGAAACCAACGGTGCAGGCTGCAGGCGATCCACTCCTTGCATGCGGAGCCCAGCCCCTCACTATCACCTCGTGAGGCGGGGACTGCAAACCAAGTCATACTTGGAGGAAAAGAAAATGGAAACTACTATATGTTTTTAGGGTTTAGGATTTAGGGTTTAGGGTTTAGGATTTAGGGTTTAGGGTCAGGGGGACTTAGTAAGTAGGTTAATGATGGGGGTAATTATGGTTATTATATGGCTTATAGGGGTTATAACCTACTTACTAAGTCCCCATGACCCCTGCAAGTAGGTGCGGCGATACTGGGAGCATGTTGCAGTGTGGGGTGAGGGTTTGCTGATCTAACTGCACATATATATATATAATATAGATATATAGTCCCCCTTAAGTAGATAGAATATGGAGTATATAGGGATCTTATTATAACATACCCCAAAGCCATATTCTATCTACTTAAGGGGGACTATAGGAGCATGATCTTCCCGGGGTAACAGAGACTCATAGCTGGGGCAAGCAACTGAGAACTAAGCCCTCCGCACTAAAGCCATTAAGGAGATGGAGATCTCCAAGTCCAGACGAAGAGCCCACTGTGGACTCTGTTTATACTTGGAGGGTCAGGGGGACTTAGTAAGTAGGTTATTACTGGGCATAACTCGGGTTACTATATTGGTTATAGGGGTAATGAACCTACTTATTAAGTCTCCCTGACCCTCCAAGTAGGGTTTAGGGTTTAGATGTCTTTGCACCGCCAGGGAACCCCGCAAAACAAAGATTTTATCCATCCACCTTGTGGATACGCCATGCTGGGGGGTGCCTTTGAGTTGCAGGACCCAAACCCAACAACTGCAGCTATACTTATATTATGGGGTCCACATTTTCGGGCTTACAGTCACCAAAACCCTCTCATTCGACTAATGCTATGCCCGCTTCATCATCCTCATGTAACTTAACTTTCAAAGGTCCCAATTATGGGCCCGTACTATGGGCCCCGACCATTTCCTGGATCTTGACCATGGGCCTTTAACGGCGTTTCTAGTGTTATATCAGCGTTATAGTAGGTATATAGGAACCCCAGGAGAAAGGGCCCATACCAGGGGCCCATTAGAATTTTCCACACACCTACTGTAAAATTCAATGTTTGCGGCCTGACATCATGTGAGCCATAGTCTAAACTTGAAGGGATTATTTAGGGGAATATTATGGGGGTTATTATTAAGGGGGCTGCTAGGGATTTAGACTCGGACTCATGTTACATGGCGGGCTGTCAGGTCATCATTGCGCAAGCCTACAGCTTCCCGGTCCGCTTTTTGTATGGTTCTGGGATTGGATTGGAATAGTGAGGGTTTAGGGTTTAGCGTTCAGGGCTTAGGGTTTAGGGTTCAGGGTCTAGGGTCCCGGGTTCAGGGTTTAGGGTCCCGGGTTTAGGGTTCAGGGCTTAGGGTTTAGGGATTACCCGTGTTATACGCCTATAGTCCTTAAAAGTTACCATGACTAAAAAAACAATGAATTATTCAGGCTCCTGCAGTAGAAGGTTTGTAAGGCCCTAAACTCCAGCACTGCGCCAAATCTGTACTTGGAGGGTCCGGGCGACTTAGCAACTAGGTTAACAAACCCTATAACCCAAGTTATCCCCATTATGATCCTACTTCCTAAGTTCCCAGTTCAGGGATGAGCCAGGCTTGGGGTTTAAGCTTTAGAGATCCTTAAGGACAGATTGCAGGGAGTTCAGGGTCTGAAGGTGGGTCATTGGGAACTCTTTTCTTGATGCGGCGTCTTTTTTGTGGTAACCATATATCGTTTCAACTCGAAGCCCCGAACAAGATTTCGAGTCGGACCGTTAGGAGCTTTGAGATTCATGTCCTTCGGCCGTTATTGGTTCCGTTAGTACGCAGTTTTGCAGTAAGCAATCATAAGGATGATTTCAAGCACTATTTACTTGAAGTCCTTACATAGTAGGGCATCCTACTCAGAATGTGCATTCAGGGGTGGGCCCCGATGCTGTGACGTTCCTGCGGAGTACGGTCTTCGCACATACCTTTGTATATCAAATATATAGTCCCCCGTAACTAGCTAGAATATGGCTTTGGGTATATTATAGTAAGATCCCATATATCCCATATTTTATCTACTTGAGGGGGAGTATACATCTACGGATATACATGTCATCATTATGACCCTTAAGGGTCAAGGCTGTGTCCCCCAACTCTAAACCCCAAGCTTTACACCCCACCAACTGTAAGCCCTCAGCAGCGCATGGAGCCTCAAAGGGCAGCTTCCATAAATAGGGGACCCCAATATAGGCCCACAAAAATTCTTATCCTCATCATAGGGACCCTCAAAACTGGTATCCTTAAATCTGTGGCTGCAACTAAGGTTTTAAAGTTCAGGACTGGAAATCCCTAAGCCCCCGAAACCTCAACACAAAATTGCTTGCAGCACAGCCCTTGTGCTCCAAAGACCCCTAAAAAGGCTAGCATACATAGACCTAGTGCCCAACGCAAACTCTGCACAACCTAAGCCTTGTACCCCAAAAACATATAGCCCCCCTGAAGTAGATAGAATATGGCTTTGGGTATATTTATAACAAGATCCCCATATACTCCATATTCTATCTACTTAAGGGGGACTAAAACCCCAAAACCCAAAGCCTAAACCCTCAA